CAGTGGACCCCAGCCTGCGCCTCCCTGGGGCCAGCAGTGATCTCGTGCCCCCTGGGCAGGCCTGGTCCTTGGATGTCCCCTGTACTGGGTTTCACGGCTGCAGCCAGAGGAGTCCAGTGCCTACCCCATGCACAGCACCCACCCTGTGCACAGCACCTATGCCTTGCTCAGCACCCACACCATGCACAGTGCCCATGCACAATTCTGCCACTTGGTGTCACCTGCCATAAAAAAGTTAGAGCTGAAATGTTCTCAGGAGACCACAACCTGGGGAGCTCCAGCCATGCGAGCATTGCCACCAGGGATGCCCCAGGGCAGAGATGCCCAGGGGGGACAGCAGAAGTGTGGTGTGGTTCAGAGACTCCATGGGGTGTGCATCTGCCTGCCTTGGATTTTTAATTACAAGGAAACATGTAATAAATTAAAGCGTTCAAGGACGGGATAAAAGCTAACACAGAGTCTTAAAGCACCTTCCCCTCTATCTTCATTTCTGCCCAATAGTCCATGGTGGGTGGTGGGAAGAGTCTGGGAAAGGCCCATCCCTACCCCAGGCATGGCTCCATACAAAGGTGCCAGCAGGACTCTGTGCTCAGCCCACCACCTTGGAGCCCAGATTTCCAGTGGTGGAGGGTGACAAAGACCCATGGCTCCCTGTCCCTAGCCTCAGGTCCTTGCCTCAGTGCTCCCACCCCTGCTCCACTGCATCCCCCCAGCACCAGAACCAAGCTGTGAAGCTTGGCCCTTGAAGTATTGCTCTGCTTGTGTCCCTGCTGCTCCCAGCCAGTGGCTGGTATCTGAAAGAGTTGATCTGTCCCTCCATCACTTCATTGTGGGAACGGTCTTGGCATGCTGGCTGGGCACCCTGATTTACACCCCTTGGCCAGAGCAGGGCTGGTGTAGAGCCCTGTGCCTTGGGGGACTCCTCCATCGGTCAGCACAGGCCCCCTAAGCTGTCCTTGCAGACCAGATGCTTGGAGCAGCCTGTCCTGGTGCTGGCCCTGGGGCCACGCTGCGCTGTTCTGCACAGAGCCCAAAACCGTAGGAGGAGGCATTGCAGTGGGGGAGCAGGGCACTGGTGAGTGCTGTCTGGCTGGGGATGGGGACCTGGGCTCTTCCTGCAGAGTGCTGGTAGTGTGCGTGAAGGGACAGTGATGGCTCTGCTGGGGTTCAGGACCCTGAAGGGTCACCAGCCGGCGATTGCAGTGGGGTGCAGACAATGCATGCAAAACAGGAGCAGGGCCAGGCACAACCAGCACCAGCCCTATGCTTCGCTGGTGTCCCCGGCAGACAGGACACTGGGGACATCTCTCTTGCCACATGCCATGGAAGGAGCTGAGATGGGTTTGCAGCCTCCTGGGCTCTCTGAGCACAAAAGCTGGAAATGGCCTTGCTTTTAATATATTTTTTTTTCCAATGAATTTTGCACTTCTCACCTGATCCCAGGTAGCTGCAGATGGTGGGCAATGCAACCCCTGGGGAGGAACAGCATTTTGGGACAGGGCACCCTAAAATTTCGTCTGCCCATATAGCCCACAGCTGCTGGCAGGATGAGCTGGTGCTGCAGCTCCATGTGGCTGCAGGTTTGTGCCCTGCTTCAGGGCTGGGCTGGAGGATGCCTCTGAATTATTTCCAGATGGGGATTAATGCAGCAAACCGAGTTTGCTGCAGGATAGATAAACAAACCAAAGCTCTTCTGGATGCTATTAATAAACCTCCTGCCTGCTGCTTCTGCCCCAGATTTGGGAACATCCTGGTCCTGGCCTGGGGCACAGGCACGTGCTGCCTTGCTGCCCTTCCAGCCCTTTAGCTGTGGGACAGAGGTGCCAGGGATTCCTCTGGGACCATGACTGCTGGGGTCCCAAATGGGACAGGAGCTGCAAAGGTGTGAATGGAGGATGGTGTCTCCGCTCCAGGCCCCCATGCCAGCCTGCGGGTGGGATGAGGTGCTACTAGCCATGTCCCCTGGTCCCCTGTTGTCCACTGAGCTCTGCCAGAGATGGTGGGTGCTGGGAAGTGACACCACTCCTCTCCAGCCTTCCGCTGTGAGGCTTCAGGCAGCTGTGAAACCAGAGCAGGTGCAAACAGGGTGGAGGCAGACTTTGAGCCCTCTCAAACCGGCGCTGCTCTGCTGGGGTGAGGGTAAACAAGTTTTGGGCAGCTGAAGCACAGTGAGCTCACCTTTCCCATGCCTTCTTATGTGGAGTCCCCCAGTGTGCACGCAGACATGTGATCCTGCTGGGGAGGAGGAGGATGGCCCATGGGACTCACATCCCAACCCTCCTCATTTTGGCATGGCTTGTGGTCTCCTGCGAGGGGCAAACAGAGCCCGGCCAAGGGCTGGGCTCAGCGGGATGGCCCATGGCTCCTAGCAGAGCTCCCCATTGAGGACCTCTGGGCATGGTGGGCCAGCACAGAAGATGGGGTTAGACCTGCTGGTGGTATGATTTAAGCTTTGTCTCACTCCAGCAAGCTATGGGGGTCCTGGATCCATACACCCCTCTATACATGGCTGATAAGGCAGCACACCCATGCGGGGTGCCCCATGGGGAGGATGGAGGCCAAGAGATGGGTCTGGTTTTGCTTTTTTCTAGTTCTCCAGCCTGCAGTGCACACAAGAATTTAATCCCAGGCTGCAGAGAGCTGGCTGCTTACCTGGCTGGAGCAGTGCCTGGCAGAGGGAGGGACAAGGGCACGGCTCCACACCTTGCCAGGGCAGGCATCACTGCAAAAATATTTGCTGAAAAAAGTGCAGCTCCACCCCAAGGAAAACTGGGGCCAGGAGCGCAACCTGCTCCGGGTTTGCAGACAGGGTGGTGAGCAGGGGAATGCGTACGGCTGCGTAGGGCTGACCCAAGGGTGCCAGGCAGGGACAGGTGGCTGGGCAAGGCGACAGGCACTAGGGGTCCTGTCGTGGGAAAATCCTGGCACCGGAGGTTGAGGAGCTCTCACCACCTCGGTGGGCAGCCATGGGCTGCTGGAGGGGCCCTAGCACCGTACTGGCTTGCCTGCTTCTCCTGCGCCCGCTGCCCTCGCTGGCCTGCCCCGCTGCCTGCCGCTGCTCTGCAGGGGAGGTAGACTGCAGCAAGCACGCCCTCCGCGAGGTGCCGCAGAGCCTGTCAGCCAACACCAGCACCCTGTGGCTCGGCTACAACTTCATCACCGTGCTGGGACCGCGATCCTTCCCTCCCCTTCCGGGGCTGCTGCTGCTCAGCTTGCCCCACAACCACCTGGAGCTGATCCACAGCCAGGCGCTGGTGGGACTGGGGGCTCTGCAGGAGCTGGACCTCAGCAACAACTACCTAACTCTGCTGACCCCTGAAACCTTCCTGCCCCTCACCAGCCTGGCCACGCTTAACCTGGGCAGCAACAGGCTCGGAGAGCTGGAGCCCGGGGTGCTTCGTGCCCTGCCCCAGCTCCAAACCCTCCTCCTGCAGGACAACCCCTGGGTGTGCAGCTGCGGCATCCTTCCCCTCTGGCGCTGGCTCAGCCACAACAGGGAAAAAGTACGAGGTGAGTGCCTGGAGGACCATGTCCCCAAGCCCCCCATGCGCTCCACACTGGCTGGTCACCCTATTGGGACTGGGGCAGGGCCCAGCACCCTGGCCGCCAGCCGGCCGTGTGCTCATGTGGTCGGTTCCTGTGGGGTATGGCGAGGTTCCCCAGGATCTGTCCCCAGGCTATTGTAGCTCCTGTGTTTGCTTGGGTGGATGCATCCCTGGATCTGGTCCCTGGTACCCACCCTTGATCACCAGCAGGGATTGCCTGGAGAGGAGGGCTGGGCAATGGCCCAGCAATGGGCACTCAGTGCTGTCCCCAGCAGTGGCACCAGTCCTAACACAGCAAGAGCAAGGCAAGCTGGGCAATGGGCACCTGAGAGGGCAAGATGAGCCTGTGTGTCAGGGTGGGCATCACTGCTGACTTGGCCAGGACCCAGTGCCTTCATGAACATGGGTCTGATAGTGCATTTCTTTCCCTGTGAACCTTAGTGAGAGACAGATCTGCCAGCGAGGTCTCTCCCTCTGCTGCCACCCACTCCTGCTTGCTTCCAGCTTGGGTGCACACCTGTCATTCATACTGGCTGGGACCTTCTGTGGCATCTCCAGGCTGGCTGCACACTGGTCTTCACATCTGTCCCCTGGGAACCAGGCCCACCACCTTGCCTGCCCCATCTACTGTCGTGCTCCACGCTATCCTGCCCCAAACCCATTTTCCAGTGCCCTCTCCAGCACTGCGCCCACCTCCCTATCCTGTCACACTCCTCAGGGTGCAGGACATAGATGAGCCCTGAACCCTCACTGCTCCCCTTCTTTGTACCCTGCCCTGGGCTATCTTGGTCAACCTGGCCCCTGTCCTCCTTCCCTGGTCCCATCTGTCCCATACAGACTTGCCATCCCCTCTGTCCTTGACACCTGCCTTGTCCCAGCTGCCCAGTGTGCCCATCAGCACTGCTTTTCTTTTCCAGAGAAGAATTTGCTACTGTGCAGAGTCCCAGAGCAGCTGAGCAAGTATCCAATCATGGCCTTTGGGAATGAGTCCTTCAGGCAATGCCACAAGACCTCACTGTCCGCCCAGCACTACATCGCCTTCTTGATCATTGGCCCCTTCTCCTTCGTGGCGAGCATCTTCTTCTGCACCGTCATGGGTTCCATCATAATTGTTTACCACAACCTGCGCAGGGAATCCCACTTCTGGAGGAGACCCCGCACCTGTAGGGGCCGCTGGGGCAGGGTGACCAGGCTTTAGCCCCATGTGGGCTGTGGTCCATGCCCTTCTCCAAGTGTCTACACCCTGCTGTTGCAAACATTTCCCTGTGGACCAGTGAGAGGATGCTCTCTTTGTGGAAATATTCCTCCTCCCAGAGTCCCCCAAGAAGGTGGCAAGCTCCATTTGCTCCACTGCCAGGGGGAGCAGCCTCCAGATCAGCCCCCCTGCAGAGCACAGTCGGACGGCGGCTGCTCTCAGTGTTTTGGGAGGCTCCCCAAGGCCACCCTCAGACCTGCACATCCCCTTCCCAGGGGGGTGAGGTGATCCTTTTTCTCCAGCTCACCCTGCCCTGCCCCTTCTGCTGCCCAGGGGCCTCAGTGTGCATTTCAGGATGCACGTATGCCTCTGTGTGCCTTTTGGTGCTTTCTGGGAGCCCCTGTGTGTATCTCAGGACACACCATATTCCTCTGGGTGCCTTTCAGTGCACTACAGGAGTCTCCATTTGCCTTTTGGTGCAGCCCAGGAGCCTCTGCATGTCTTTCAGTTTGTCCCAAAGCCCTCCTTGGGCCTTTTGGTGCCCCAAGCACTCCCCATCTGCCATTCAGTGACCCTGGAAGCCTCAGCATGCCTTTCCATGCCCTCAGAACCCCTTGGCTTGGTTTTTTGTGCATCCAAATGCCATCCATTTGGCTTTTTGTGTCCTGACATGCACTGGTTTGCCTTTTGGTGTGCTCCAGAGCTCTCCACATGCTTTTTGGTGCACCTGAAGATCTCTGGGTGCTTTTGGGGCACTCCATGGGACTTTCAGAAAGCCTCAGACCCTTCCATGTGCTGCCTAAGGACAGGGCAGGTTGCAGAATGTTTCTTTTGATAGTGTTTTTTCCTTGAGACAGGGCTGCTGGTGCTGAGAAGGCTCAGCCAACAACCAAGATCTAGGGTGAGGCTGAGGTTTAGGGTGAGGGTTGGAAAAAGACAAAGCCTTGAACTCCAACTGATGTGATTTAGCAAAGGGGCTGCCAAAGGATGGGTGAGGCTGCACAGTGGTTCCTTCTACAATAGCTTTTCCCCTAGGCTAAAGCTCATCCAAGGCCAAGGTCTAGGGTTAGCTCACTGATGGGAGTGGGGACAAAAAAGCCCATGTGAGTTTACAGCACAGAGCCTGCAGCCCTTGCTGCTGCCTCACCTCCCATCACTCACAAAAAGAGGCTGGGGCTGCCCCTGCATCTCCCTGCTCTGCCGCCTCATGCTCTTCCCTGTGGAAACACTTCTACCCTGCATTGCATGGAAATGCTTAGTGAGCATACTGGGAGATAGCCTGGAAGGAGCTAGAGCTGTGCTCCAGAGGAAAGCACAAGTTGGGGTGACAAAAGCATCTCTCAAGGAGGAGCAACAGCCCCTTCTGGCATGAGTTCTTACCCATTGCAAAGCAGTAAGAGCCACAATGAGATGACTGTGGCTACCAGCCTCCCCCTGTTCGCTCAGTCTCTTGCAAGAGCTGCAGGACAAGCCAGGAATGTGGTGGGGGTCAATGCATCCTTTGGCAAGCTCTTAGCAAGAGTTAAATAAATCATGCAGAGAATAAACCAAATGTCACTTCAGTTGTGCCTTGCTCCTATTTTTATATTCAAGAGAGAAACCAACCCAGAGTGCTGCCACACTGCTCCATTCCCACTCAGCAATTCCTGTGATGGCTCTTCCCAGCGAGGGGTGTGATGGCTGCAGGGAGCTGGTGAAAGCAGTGCTACCAGCCTTGCACCCAGGATGGCTGCAGGACCTCTGCCAAGATCAGCCCCTTGCATGGTACCTTTCACAGGAGCAATCCCAGCTCTCCTAGACCCTCTCTAGTGACAGCACTCAGTCCTTCCCAAGAAGGCCTGGGCTTCCCATTTGGAGCTAGGACCTTGCTTGTCATCCTGCATGGCTGCCTGAGCCCCACTCCTCCTCCCAGATTGTCCATGAGGTTGGGCTGGTGGTCTCAGCACATGGGCAGTATGGTGTGAATGAGTGATGTTGCTTCAGTTCAGCCAAGGGGAGCTGCCTCTCTGTTTTGCAAATCCCTCGGGGCACCTCCCTACGGATGGGCTGATATGCGGGGACTTTCCCAGATGCTTTCATCCCTGCAGTCGGTCCTCTGATCCCAAAGGCTACCCCCAGTGACAGTGCCCCACACTGGCTCCCAGGAGCAGGGAGCACAGCAGTGGCAGGGGACCATTTTCCCCCAGATGGAGGTGGGTGAGAGCCAGCTGGCATGGTGCTGGCATTTGGACGTTTTCAGAATGTCCCCAGCCCCCTGCTGCCAGGTCTGTCCCCCCACACTGGCTCTTCAGGCTGTCCATCAGCCTGGCATCCCAGAATGGTGATGCCTCTTCCCTCCCGGTCTCCTCTGCAGCTCCTGGCCTTTCTCCTTGCTGGCTTTTCCTTCCCTCCCTGCTGCGCCTCTTTTTACTGTTTGCAAACCCTGCAGCAGTGCTGGGTGAGGCTCTGAATCAGCGTGGGGCTCCCTGCCAGCTTTGCCAGAAGGCAGAGATGGAAAGAGGCAAACAGCACTGGAATAAACCACTTCATGAACCAGTGTAGACTTTACTGAGCTCTTGCAAAAACTTGGTATTAATGTTACATTGATGTATAAAGTAAAATGGGTCCAATTTCTCAGTTGGAGCGCAATGAACTTGATGGAGCCACTGCAGTCAGTGGGACGATGCTCACAAACCTCAGCTGCCGTGTGAAAATCCTGCCTGCAGAGGCTGCCAACCCTCAGAGGGAAGCCCCATCTGCTCGACTGGGGCAAGGAGAAGGCAGTTCATGCTGCTGGGGCTTGGTACCACATTGCAGGTGGGTTTTCCACCTCTGCAGGAGGATGGATGCAAAGTTGCCCGTGCGCGTGCTTGTAGCTGCTCATCACCAGCCTGGCTGGTGCCAGATGCTTCCCCGATGCTGGTGTCTCTGTACCCACTCACAGCGCCCACGGGGAGGGTGCTCAGGGATGCTGGCACATGGGCACATACGCTTGAGAGGAGGAAGGTGTGGGGGGAAATGGTGCCAGCCTGTCTCTTTTGGTTCCTTTCTCCTGAACTGGGATCCGGTTTCCACATCTCCAGGTTCAGGCAGATGCAGCCACGTGAGCTGGGGCTTCAGGGCTGCTGTGGAAGCTGCTGGCAAGCTTGAACTGCAGGTGAGTGTGGCAGAGAATCTGCCAGTGCCTGCTGTGGTCCCCTGACACTGCAGGAAGGCTGGGTGGCCGCTACAGACACCACAGCACACAGCAAGCCACAACTGGCCAGCAGCATCTCTCCTTGCATTGCTGGTGCTGAGGCAGTGTGGAGCTTGGCTAAAGGTCAATGCAACCATCCAGAGCCATTCCCCATGGAGATGTTCCTGGCCAGGACAGCCACGGTGTGAGAGCTACATACTGGCCATAGCCAGGTCCTGGGGATGTCTTCTGTGCCGGAAAGTTGGGGAGACAGGATCTTGGCTGACAGCCTGTTATGAGCTCCAGAGTACCACATTTAGCACAGGAGCGTGGGCTGCAGGGCTGAGAGCACTCCTGCTGCAAACAGACCATGTACAGGAGCCAAGTCATAGCCACGGGCTGATGGGAGGGAGGAACAGAGGGTTCATTCCCTGCAAGGATCAGAGCACACATCTTCCAGCCCCTGCTGCAGAGGTGGGGGGTCACTCGGCACAGCAGTTGAACAGCGTTGGCAGCTCCAGCTGCTTGGGACCACGAGCATGTCAACTGGAGCCCTCTGGGGTGGTGGGAGACGTGGAGCACATGCCTGGCGAGCCATGCATGTGCTGAGAAGCCTCAAGCCTGCAAAAGTGAAGCACATGATTGTAGTCTGGCACCAGCTCTTCCCCACTATTGTGGGAGAGCAGGCACCATGTGCCTTTCGAAGTCCTTTCCCCTTGCACATAGCCAGTCAGTAGCAATACTGATTATCAACAGCACTGGTTAGAAGCAATTATCTCTGTACAGTGAAGTCCAAACCGTGTCCTCATTCTGCTGTGCATTCTGGGGCACAAGCATGGCAGCAGGCCTAGGAAGGGAGGGAGATATACAATGAAGACACTGTGTATGGATGAAGGATGCTTTCCTCCCATCTCACCCAGAAGAACCCATCAGTGTTCCTTGAAAGGCAGTCCTGCCTGTGCCTTCCTTCTGTGTTGGGCAAGGACTGATGGCCCTCGGGGAGAAGGTCACACCACAGTGCTGACTGAGGGGTCGGAGAGGTTGAGCTGGCCAGTGATGTCGGTGGGATGATATTGCTGTAACACACAAATACACAGACAAGGAGAAAGAAGTGTTAGGCAGTTCTGGCACTTGCCCCCGCCTCTGCTTACATCCCATGTGTCCCTACAGGATATATCTTGGGAGTGATGCAAACTGCTGCTGGCTGAGGTCCCCTTCCCAATGCAATCCAAGCTTGTGCAGAGGTCGTTGCAGACACTCTCCAAGCACCCTACAGCTGGGCAGGGAGGACGCCCAGGAGCGCGGTGCAGCTTCTGCAGAGCGTGGCAGCCGCGTCACCTGCTGAGTGAGCCCCTCTGCTCTGGGAGAGCTACAAGATCTGCCCAGCCCACTGCTGAACCTGTGTTTGGAGGGTCTGGCTGGGTTTTGGCATCTCTCTGGTGCCAGATCAAGCTGTGCTTTGAGGCCAGGGCGTTTCACCTCCTTGCTTGAATGATTCTGCTTTGACTATCCCTTCGTGCAGGTGAGGAGATGTGCGGTGTGGTTGACTTGCGATAAAATGTAGCATCAATTGCTAATGTGAAAATGCAGCCTGTGTTGAGGATGTGGCCTGGATTTGGGGTTCTGCACTCCTTGTGGAAGGGGGGCTTGGCAAACGGTCCCCGGGAGAGACCTCCCCAGCTGCAGTCCCACCAGCAAGCAAACAGGGAGAGCAGAAATACCCTTCAACAGGCAAGAAAAAAGGAAAAAAAGTACCTCCTCCCCAGGCAGGGATTTACAACTGGGCAGTTACTTTCTCCCTTCCTCTTTCCATACTCCCTTCATCTTCCAGATCCACTCTCCTAACTCC